AAATATAAATATGTATATGTATATATATTCTTAATTATAATCATAATTATAATTGTGCATGTATTAGAAATAATAGTTAATCAAATTATTAGAAATTACTAATTTCCGACTTCTATGATTTCCCGCGATTTTATAAAATATTTGCTTCTAATATGTACAATCAAAGTAAATAAAAATATAATGAAATAATTTAGTGTACAATAAAAGGGTAACATAGCACAAGTATTTTATATATTTATTATTTTTAACAAAAATAATAAAAGAATTAATGCCATCAATATCATTTATTAACAATCACATATTCATCGAATATGGATATACAACGAACTACAATCAATATAGCATAAAAATTCTAAAAATATATTCTTTAACATAAGCTTTGATAAAGTAAATTTCTGGAGTTAAACTTATATTTTTGGATTTTACTATTTGAAATATTATTAAAAAGCATAAAAAAATTATATTATTAAAATATTTCTTATAAAAATTATATTACTATATTATTAAGAATTTAATACTATATTATTAATTAAGAAAATTTAACTTAATTATCATCATTATTATTAATAATTACATTTAAATAATTACAAATTATAAGATATATATATATCCAAATTAATTTATAAATTAATTTTTCAAAATGAAGATTAATCTAGTTATCATCATCATTATTATTAATAATTACATTCATTAAAAAAAAAATATTTAAATTTACATTTATAAATTATAAATGAATTTATAAATTAGATTAGATTGTATAAATTTAATATAAAAAAATTTTTATATAAAAAAATTTTTTTTTAAATTTAACAATACAAGTTATATATGAAAATTGAATGGTACAAACAATTATTTATAAATCTTTCATTTTGTTTGTTCTTTAATAAATGAATACATTTATATACATGTTCTAAATTTTTATTAATATGTGTTTTGATAATTTTTATAGTTTATATGTTAATATATGCCTTCAAGACTAAAGTAGAAAATAATACATTTATTCTTATACAAGAAACAATATCATTTGATTAATTATTATATTAATTAAATATTCTCAAAAAATTTTAATGGGGAAGGTTAATCAAATAAAAAAAGTTAAACTTATTAGAAATATTATTATTAATCTTCTTAATTCAAAAATTTTAAAATACTATTTGACATTTATAAAGTATATGAGAATAAATAAACATTCTTAAATATAATGAAACACTAAACTTTGAAAAGATTTAGAAATTGCAAATATTAAATATTTTTAAACTTTGGCCCATTATTTGTTTGGCTAAGTAATCAAAATTTACTTTAAAAATAAAAAAAAACAAAAGAAATATGACTTTCTTAATTGTTAAATAAAATATGTACAAATAAATGATTAATAATAAAAAGAATAAATCATAATTCTTAATGTTGACTTTTCTACATGTAACGATATTAAAAATAATAAATGACTGATGTATGAAATAATTTTGACTTATATATAATAATGACTTATTTACGTTGTATAAGAATATTAAATTACGTTTAAAAATAATAAAGCAAGTGAATATTTTAAAGGTCAATGACCTTTTTAATTTCTTTATCAAAGTTAATGTCTTTAATTATTATACTATGATAAATGCAAGGATTTATTAAATTCGCTGAAATAAATTAACTTTCGGCTAAATAGAATTCTTGCGTTATTACTAACTTTTATGTTATAATAACTTTTTTCTAGAAAGTTATTTGTTAGTGAATTTTTTGTCTAGAATTTTGTTTGGTAATATAATTTGTAGAATTATTTAATGGAGTACTATCCAAGGAAGTATCTGAAATATCTTCACTGCTACTACTACGAATATCACCTTCCATCTGAAAAATTGTTTATTTAAATTTAAGATTAAATATTTCATAATTATATTTACTATAATAATGTACAATAAATAATATAATAAATATGCAATATATATGCAATATAGCTTACTTGACCAGCATAAAAAGCATTGTATGCAATTTTAAGAATCAAATAAGTCCAAATCATGTGAAGAAGTAATAATAAAATTAATAAGAAGTTGAAAATATAATATGCTGGGAACATAGGCACTATTTGAGGTGCCTTTATTGATGTACTGTAATATTTTATATAATATATTTAATAAAATAATATAATTTCAATTGCACTAGAATTAAAAATCAATATGAATAAAACATACCTATAAATTATCCAAAATGGAAAAAGACCTATACGTGTAATAATCCATAATATTGTAAAAATAACAAATATACAATCGCATAATTTTTGGTAATTTGCATATTTAGCCATTTTTGCAGCCTAAAAATATAAAATTTTAACATTAAAATTTTAATATTAATATTATTATTAACATGTTATGATCAGTATTATTATAATGTTTATATTTACTTCTAAAAAAATATCTGCACAATCATGTACTAATAATACTAATGAACCAATTCTAGTTAAATTTCCAATCCATGAGAAACACATTAATATAATAGTAGCTATATGATGAATAAACATCTGCCAAAAATCTTTTCTTTTCACATCAAAAAATTGAGAGAAACTTAGAGACCAATAAAATGCCATTGATATCATATAATACCACCATACATCATCTGAAACTGGATGATATGGATAATTGTAATAACAGTAATTTATATCCCATAGCCATAACTTGTCCCATAAAATAATGAGTCCATAAATAAATGAATATGTGTAATATAAACATCTCCAGCTGTAACAGAAAAATAGGTATTTAATTTAATTAAATATTTAAGAATTAAAATATAAATATGTATGTGTATCAATATGTACAATATTAATATCATAAATTTTAATATAAGATTTATTTTATTAAATTATTCTTTTGTAAATGAAAATAAAAAATTACATTTTATATCTTGTAAAACTAACCTGTTTTCACAAAATTTTGTAAGTGTTGATGGCTTATCCTGAGTACGTCTTAATCGCAACCATCTTTCTACTTGTCGTTCAGACCAATCTAATTGTTTAGCCAGTGCCAGGATCTTAAAATATATCCATATATTATAAAAAAATCCATAATATTTAATTGCTCAGTGCAATTACTTTGACTTAGATTACATCTGTTTCAAGAACCTAATATTAAACACATTATTTAGAATTCAAATTTTTAATGTATGTAATATAACAATATTGTTGTCTAATATTGAAGTACATAGCAGTTCAAAGTAATATTATTTTAATTATTTTAATTATCTATTTTAAAAATTTATGATACATTTTATCAAATAGCTATTATTTTATTATTATATATACTATTATATTAACTTTGTAAAATTGATAATCAAAGTATTTTCTAATCCAAATATTTATTATTATTCTATAATAAATTATATGAATAAAATAAATTGAACCAACAATTAAATTATATTATGTTATAATAATGAAATATTAGAAAATAAATTGATATAAACTTACCTGTTTATGTTTAATTTTTTTACTAGTATAGGCTTTTTCTAATATTTCATTTGGCGTTGCTTTTTTTGTTCTTGTATTTTTTATACCAAGAGACTTACCAATAGGTGCAAAACAATATCTATAAAAATTATTATATATTGTTTATTATGTATGTAATTAAATAATATATACATTAATATATAATAATATATATATTATTATACATTAAAATCTAATAAACTATAATTTACATTAAATATTTAATTAAATATTTTAAAAAAGTAAAATAATAAACAGTTTTAAATAACGTAAAATATAAATATTTAGTTAAATATATATATATTATAACCTCAATTTAATTATAAATTTTATATTTTAAAAATGATAAAATTGAAAAAATATATTAACGATAAAATAGAGTGATTACCTTTCTAAAGCATATCTGATTATCAAAAGAAATAATGCCATAGGTAAAGGATAAATTAAATGTTGAAAATTTGTGTATTTATTTTCTGAATTAGGTTTAATATCATCCCACGTTATATTAGGCGGTAACCAAACATCAGTTGACCAAAAAGCCGACGATACATTCTTTAATATATCCATTGTTATAATTGCTACAATTAATGATGTACATTGTAATGGTATTAAATATTTGCTAACTATTATTGAACCAAAATAGCTAAAAACGTACTTACTTAACTTCTTTAATAAAAAACACTTCAACTACCTTCCTCTGCTTATACGCCACCGCTCGAAGACTGAGCCTGTAACTTCAATACACGTAACTCAATTTTTCTATTGACTCTTATTTCTGTTCTTATTTTGAAATAAGTAGATAACTTATCATTATCTCTTTTCATTCAATTCTTATTTAAGTTCGATTCAGTGTTAATATCTACTTTTCTTATATGTCCATCATTTTCGAATACTAAATGCACATTAGACGCATATGTAATCATTAATCATTCTGATAACGAATATTTCATGGATAACCTCGCTTTTAATCCCAGCAGGCGAATTATGAATATAAATTTAATTTTTTAAAAAATATCAAAATTCACATTTAAATATCGAATTATTCATGTTTTACATAAAACTTTAAAATTATTTTAATTGAAATTAACATAAAATATATTATTTACGAAATTTTATGAATAATTTGTATAAAAGGATTACATATTTTGTTACAACAAATTTCACAGATTAATTTTGATTTAACTTTCAATTATTGATATTTCATATTATTACAGTGCTGTATTAAGAAGAACTAATATCTCGAGCTTAAAAAATTAATTCATATGAAATGAGAAATGTAATAATTTAGTTCAAATTAAATATAAAATTTCATTGAAATTGTATATAAATATAGATTGTTTTTAATTATTTTAAAAAATTAATAAATATTATTTATATATAATATTAGCGTAATTTTTTATTTTATAAATCTATCTAATTTTATAAATATATCTAATATTTTATATAAAATTAAAAAAATGGAAGAATTAAAGAATTGATTTTAGAAGCACAAAAATTTATATTTAAAAAATTATCAGAATTTATTTTTCAAAATATGAACAATTTAATTTTAACTAATCGTCTTACAATGTTGCTTTTATAATCGACATGTCTAAAACTGTTTCACATTTTTATAAACATTCTATATATATCACTAGTCAAGACAATGTTCAATAATTTAAGATATATGAGTACATAAATTTTGTTTTATTCTTATGTGTGAATACAATATCAACAAGATACATAATATAATATATATATATATATTTTATGTACACTAGAAGACAAAAATAATTTATCAAAAATAAAAAATTTTTTTTAAGAATAATTTTTTCAAGATGAAAACGATTTGAATTTTTTTTGAAAAGTTAGTTTCTTAGATAACATATAAAATTATTTTTATTATATAAAATTATTAAAAAAATTTTTAAAGTTGCAATTGATTAGAATCATAAAAAATAATAAAAATTAATTTTTGCAATTTTTTTATTTAATCCTATGAAAGTTTCAAACATACAATTTGTAAATATTGTTTATATCAGATATAAGTATGCTGAAAATTTCATCAAAATCGATTGATAGAAAAAAAAGACAAATATCGAAAAATATAAAAATCTTTAGATTTATTATGAAAATTTTAAAGAATTACGATTTTCATCATTTTTAACTGTTTATAGATCATAACATTTTTTAATTGATTTTAATAAAATTTTCAATATATATATAATTAATATAAATCTATAAAATATATTTTTAAATTTACAAGTTCAGAAAAGTGATTTTTACAATTTTTTTTTTAATTTACATTCTCTTCCAATCAATTACAACTTTTTAAATATTTTTTTTTATATGATATATAATAATATAATAAACTAATCTTTCTAATTTCTTAAAAAAATTCAAAAGTCATTTGATCCAATTTTAAGAAAATTATTTCGTTTTTTAAAAAATGGATTTATATTTTTACTATTATAAATGATACTTATATAATATATAAAAAATAATTTTGAAGAATTATAAAATATAAAAATTATATTTATATTTATATAATTAATTATATTTATATAAATATTTGTATAAAAAAAATTAAACACATGTAAAATTACAATTATAATGATATATAACATTATAAATTTGAAATATTTTTTATAAAATCTAAATCATAAATTATATGATTCAGATTAATACTTTATTTTATATTATCAAATAGATAATTATGTTAAATAATGATAAAATATATTATAAATATTTTCATAATTTTTATGATATATGTTTATATCTTTTATGCATAATATATTTTATGTTTACAATTAACTGATTGAAAGATATTACTGTTATAACATTATTATACATATATATTATTTATGGAATTATAATATTATTAATATTACAACTTTTATATAGGCACATTTTTTATTATTTCTTTCATATTCATTCATTTATAAATATAAGAACAATTTTTTACAGATAATGGTAGTATAAGTACAATGTATTATTTTTAAATAAATAATGATATTAGGCTCCAATTATAGTAAATATCTTTTCTGATGAACTAAATATTTTATAAATATATCAAAACAATCAAAAATATTAAATTAAATTCTTATAGAAGTATATAGGAGTAAATTATAATAAGAGTATATTATATGAATTTCGTTTTTTTGATATTGTTTTATCATTTGTTTCACAAATATTTCGGATTTATCGTCAGAATATTAATTATTAGAATATTAGTTCGTCAGATAACACATCTACTATAATTTTATAACTTTAATAAATAATATAGTTGTTGTATCTTTAAATGTTAATTTTATTTTTATATTAAAAGCAATTTTTCTGAATACTGATTTCTATTATCGAAAAATATTAATGCGCGCATTTACGATTAATAGGATATCGTTTCGATAAACGCTTAATTATACGTTGATATATTTGAGCATTTTTTTTTTCATGAGATTTTAAAAATGCTTGTTTTTTTGCATCAATTTTTATTTTTCGTTTAATACCTGGTGTATGGACTAAAAAGGCACCGTCAAGTATAATTAAACGATAATTTAAAAGACACATCTCGAACATCTATAAAAAACAGTGAAATAAAAATTAATACAATATATATTTATTATTAATATTTATTATTAATTTTGTTTTAAAAAGTTTAATTTATTTATCATTATTATAATAATAATTATAGAAATATCGTACCGATGAATATATGCATTACCTGACTCATTTTGTCTTGTCTACCTTCCCAAGACATTTCTTCAGCATAAAAGGGATCATTTTGCGTTCCTATGAATACAGGTTCCCATCTATGATGTGGATATTCCCTTCTTGTAATAATAAGTGGTTTCACTTTACCCGGATCCGGTCTAATTAACCATCTAGTGAGTCCAGGAAATTTTTGACAATGTGAACAGAGGAATCTATAAAAAAAAATTTTCCGTATCTTATCTTATTCATAATGATATATATTATGTGCAAAATTAAAATGTATGTGAATTTTATATAATTATAATAATATGAATTTTATCTTTGTATAATTATAATTATTTGCAAACCTATGAAAATACACAGCTAAACCAGCTTTTGTTGCTGAAAGCAATTCTTTTTTTGTCGAAGGTGGTAACACTTTTGATTCTATTTCAAATATTGGCACCACAAAAATAACGCCACTTTTTGGTGGTTTTTCGCGAACGATTTTCATAAAACCGGATGCTAATTTTTGACTAGGTAATAATTCAATATCTGTTACTAGAACACGAGTAGTGTTTGCTTGGATTCTAGCCACATTTCTGGCCACATTAATAGGATAAATCATGCCCTTTTGTTTCCTTTCTGTTTCTCTTTTCTGAAGATCAGATGCAGTACAATCACCTTCAACTTGAATAATTTGTCCTAAAGTTGGTGGATGATCAGTAGGAAATACCAAGTGAATAGAAACCTGTAAGAAAACATGTGTTAAAATTTTGACATTATATTTTGTAACGATTCTATGTATACATTATTTAAATTATTGTATATATGATATACATTCATTTATAAATTAGTTAGTTAAATACATTCATATATATTTATAAATATTATAAAATTATATATATTTATAAAAACTAGACATCTTATATCAAATTTAAAATCCTGTATCGTATTAATTTTTATGAAGAAAATTGGAATTAGAAAATATTTAGAAAATATTCTTAATTCTGACAATAGAAAATGATTATGTCAATTATATATTTAATAAGACAGATAAAATAAATATATTTGAAATATATATTGAAAATATTAATTGATAATAATATAATATAAAATAATATATGTATAATTATTTTATTAAATTTATCAAGTTTATTATTATTAAGTTTAATCATAATACTATTGAACTATTAACCCGTTTTGACAGCGAGTGCATAAGAAAACCTTATACATTTCAGGTTCGCATCGACAGGCCCGATCGAGGAGAGCAACGGCGATACCAGCGTCGAGGCCAGGTGTGAATACGGCCAGACTTAATGGGCCCTCCCATCTCCGAGCTAATTCCACGATTCCGTAGACCTGATCTGCAGTGGCGTGCGTGCAGAAGGTCACCTGAGGCAGTTTGTTCCTCTCCTCGGTTCCGCGCAATACGAAAGGTAGAACTCTGTAGGGACTCTTCTCACCGATTTCAGGGCTCCAGGTGACTTTGGATGCAGGATACGAAAGTGCGTTTGGTAGACCATGGTACCATCTACAAAAACTTCTATTCCTAGGATGTAGACCCGCCATATACATGCCTGCTGAGAAAGCAGGTGCTTCAATTTGGATATCTTGTTGAGAACTTGAATGGCTTTTTGATATTAAAATATCGGTAATAGCCAATATCGGTAAATATAATTCACGAGTGATTAAGAGACGACTAATCAGAACAAAAAGGAACATTAAAATGATCCAAATTAGGAACTTTCGACCGGAGCAACGCATTATTATCGAAGAAACAATTTTCCATGTTCTTCAACGTGATAAATTCATCGAACTATTATGTACATACTTGGACAATACTGTTCCATTTACGGAAAGACGAGACCGTCAATTTCGGATCGATGCAGCGCAGGCGTGCCTACCTTCCGTATAATTCGTCAGAATTTAAACTTATAAAAACAAAAACTTCAGCTTGAATTAAAAAAAAATTGAATTCATATTTTTAGTAATTATTAATTAGATTAAACTGGAAAAAAAAAATTTTTGAAAATAAAACATTTTTATTTTTTATTCTAAAATAAAAATATAAAATTTATAAAAATATTATTTTTTAATTAAATTTTTTTTATACATAAAATATATAAAAAACAATTATTATATATGTTTATATATTATCATATATATCATATATGTAATATTGTAATATATACAATAAAATTTGAAAAATAATAAAATAATAAATTTATATAAAAATATAAAAAAAATTTGATTATTTCTATATATACATGTATATAAAATATATGTATACATATTATAATTAAATTGATATATTAAATTATTAAATAAATAATTAAATAATATTATATTAAATTAATTAGATTATATATAATTTATTCATAAGATAATTTAAAACTATATTTAAATTAATATTATTGTTACAATTTATTTTATATTAACAACAATTATTTATTGTCGCAATGTATTTATTATGTTTTATAAATCTGAAAAAAAAAATTTCCAGAAAGTAATCATAATTAATATAAATTAATATTGACAAATAAAATTAAAAGATTATCAAAATATTATGAGAAAATTGTTTAATATTACAAAATAATTATTTTAATTATTAAATTTCATAAAAAATTATAATACCATTTTTAAAATAAAACTTAAAGATATATAATGCATAAATTATACATTGTCTATTATTATATACTGAATATGAATTAATCATCCATTTAAGTAATGAAATATTATTATACTTAATAAAATATATTATCCCATATTATAGTAAGATTGTTTTTATAATTTTGTAGCTATTGTAGTTTTAAATATTATATACACACAATTATTAAAATATATATATTATAAAAATTTTAATTTATATTTGATATATAAAATATAAGAAATTTTAATGAAAAAAAATATTATTATTTCTTTATAAAAAGATTGAAAATCTGTTTAATTATTAATAATTAATTGTTTAAATATAATTTATTATAATTTATGCATTTAAAATATATATTGTAATAATAATTTAAAAAAAATATTATATTAAAAATTAAAAATTTCTAATGTAATTTTAGTAATATTCTATTATAAATATTAATATTTTTAATTTCGTAAAATATTACTATTTCGATAAAATAATATAATTATAGTTCTAAATTTAACATATATACTATAATTTAAGCGATTATGATATAAGCGAAGTAAGTGATGAATTCAGTTTGCAATGAAATAAGCCTAATATTTTCATGATTGATCCCAAGGTTGTGTTCCAATTTTAGTCTATCTATAGAGAATCTTTTACTCTAATACACCTTTCATTGTAGCATGCAATCCGCCAAATCTATTAAAATGCAATTCTATAGGAGCCAGTACTTCCTAAATTGTTTGAAGAGATACATACAAATGTTTTATCCTGTTTCTAAATGTTTTTTCAAACGCAATTTCAAAGTTTAACTTTATATTACTTTTCATTGATATTCATTTGTGATGTGTCAACTGTGTTTATTATGTGTGAAATAAAAGTATATGTCAGACTATGCGTTAATTTTCGTTTAATGAAATTATTTCGTTAAATTTCATATAATATATATATAATTATGGTGTATTTAAAGAAGATAATGAATGGTAAATATATAAACTTTACTGTTGTCCCTTAAACATAATTTTATCTTTTTCAATTATCATACAAGTCTTATTTTTATACTTTTCTTAAAAATTTAAGATTAAACATTATGCAATGCTCTATTTAAAAGGGTTCCTTTAATTTTTAAATATTTCCGATAACTTGAGAAAGATTATTTTTCATAAAAGTTAATCAGTTTTTTACCAACTAATTACAATATTAAAATTTTCCAAAAAAAATTTTTTCAATAAAAAATAAAGATTTAGAAAAAGCAACGAAAAAAAATTTGATTGAAAAAACAAAACACTTGATTTTTTAAATGGCATTGTTTGCTTTAAATTTTATAATATTAAAATTCATGTAAAAATTTAATGATTAAAATTTAATAATTTATCTACTGTAATCTTGAAATCAAGAATATGAAATGAATAAACGAGAATATTTTTATAAAAAATTGTTATATAAATTACATTTTACATATTAAAAATTTTTCAGCAAAAAAAATTGTGAACCAACTTAGCTAAAAAATTAGTATTTTAGTGTCTATATATAAATATTCTCCATATTTTGAATTTAAGAATTAATAAATCTACATTAAAAAAGTCGAAAATTTACAGTTTTTGTTTTTGTATTTCATAATTTATCATTTGAGCAAATTGTAATACAAACATAGATTATAAAAAATATATTTCAATAACGAAAAAATATGTGTTACTTAAATAATATAACGAATAAATATAAAAGATATGCACATATAATTTTTATATGCTTTAAAATATCAGAGACAATTTTTTAGGAAAATATTTCTGCTTATTAATTTCATATTTTTAATTTCATAGTTATTTTAAGCTTATATAAAAGACCGCAGAACTTATATTAAAATAAGCTACAACATTATTTATATAATTATTTACATAAAGTCTAAAATAGCAGCTTTTATTTTTTTTTAAATTTTAATATCACAATTTAATATAATAGCCATTAATAGCCAATAAAAAACTGACTAACTTTTATTTAAAATGATCTTTTTTTTTAGATTATTGAATGTGAAAAAAAATCGTGACGATTTTTATGTGGGATCTTCTGTATACATATATCTACACATATATGCATCGTATATTCCATATTTAGAACAATGTTTATAGATAAATATTATTTATTTGAAATTTGCAAATATTGAATGTATTAACAGTTTACGTTTGATCTATTCAAGCTTCTTAAATAATATATAAGTAATTCTTTGATTATATAATTAATGATAAAATAGAAAATTGTGAAAATTAAATTTAAATTGTTGCTTTAAAATTTAAATGATATATACGTATGTGATTTCTTAATACATATATAAATATATGGTTTTATATCTCGAGAAAAAATATTTAAAAAATTTAAAAAATTTGAAATTAATTTATAACATAAATATTTATAACTTACATCATTTAATTTAAATTAATTTAATAATCATTTTATATCTATTATTTTATAAAAATAAAAAAATTAAACAAAATAAATTAAACAAATTTAAAATAATAATATTGATTTAAAATAACTGGATTAGTTATTCTTATTATTTTCTAATTTATTTGAAACAATCATTTAATATTATTTATTCAAAATATAATTTTAATTTTTAGAAATATATATGATACAACAAGCAATTTATAATAAATAATTAACATATGAATATTTATATAAGTAATAAAAATATTATAATTATAATATTTAAATTATTAATTATAATATATAATATATAATTCATAAATTTAAATTTTTACTTGATAAATTTACTTGATAAATTACATTTTTGTTAATTTTAATTTCTTAAACTTTAACACTCAATCAGCAAATAGTGATCAGAATGTTTTATAAGTTTAGAGAAATATATTATATAACATATTATAAGATTTTGAATTAATTTTTATAAATATTTGTAAATTTATTATAAATTTATCAGTTTATAGGCCATGAACACAAATTCATTTAAAATAAAACCATTTAAATATATTTTTTTAATTTTGATAGTATGAAAAATATTTTACATTTTCTGTAAAAAATATTTCTTTATAAAAAAATTTTTTCAGAACTTTCAGAATTTTTTTCAGAAAAATTATTATTTTTTTTTATTATGTAGTATAATTTTTAGAAAGTATAAGTAAATTTTTTTTCTATTGTATTGTATGATGTTAAAATATGTTTAACATATATAATTTTAAATTATCTTTGATTTTATAATAAAAATTAAAATTAAACATGAAATTCAATTTCTTGAAACCATAGAGTTTAACAATAATGACAATATGCGTCACGACAAATAAAAATCTATGAATGTTATTACACTACAGATAAATATATAAAATAAGATACATAAAATCCAAATATTTAATGATGTTAGAAAAAATATATTAGATGAAACTTGCATGATATCGAGAGATATCATAATTTAGTATAAATAATTTTTTAATAAGTTGTATTTTTTATAGAGATCACATATGATATCCAACTTATTTTTTTAAATGGAATATCATTTTTTATTCAAAGATAAAAAGTCTCAAAAAATCATGGATTGTACTCAATTATTCTTTTGAAAAAAAAATATTAAAATTCCATTAATTTTTGAATTCATTTTATTTATAATTTGCTTATATTTTTCGATCAGTTGCAAGGAAAATATTATTACACGAGCATTTATTATGCCATGTAGATCTTGAAATCTTATATGTATACATATAAGATATTCCATTATATTAGATTCCATGTTCTTTTTTTTTTCTTTTTTTCTATATCTTCATTCTGTATTTAAATAACATTGAACTTGCATTTCTAAAGGTTTCTATACATGTATAAAATATATATCAACTTAATTAATAGATTTAAATTAATGACTGATATAAAACTAAAAATAATAAAGTGATGTTTCAAATTTGTGCAAAAACATTAATTTAAACTCATGGTTTGAATTGATGCATACATGTGTTTCAATATATATAAAGAACTTTTAAAAATACGAATTCGATATTGTTTAAATAGCGAGAAAGAAAAAAAAAGGAAAGAAATATATTGTAAGAAGTTTTGTTAAAAATATAAGTCGAGATTGAGCACAAAAATGAATTTTTTGGAGATGTTTTACTACGATCAATATTTTCAAATGTGTTTAATTCTTCTTTTTCTTAATGTATTTTTATTGTTTGTGAAAGAAAAGAAAGTACCGCCATGATTTGTTTATACTATCATTTAGAATTTTTGATTTTTCTCAATATTTCCATATCATTCGATACTTTACAATTTGAGATATATATATGTACATATAATAGTAAATCTAGCATATCTATGTGCTACAATAAATTTATTTAAAGT